TCTACGTTATATAATTTTTCTGTGTTTACTGGGAATAAACTGTACATGTACAGGGTGCGGCGCCAAAATCCGGACAAATTATACATTTTTTTCAGACATATTTTTTATTGCAAAAACAAAAAGGTTTATAAAATTTTTTTAACCTCATTGTTTGTAAGACCATAAAGAACACATTTACTCATTATATCCCCCGTTTGCTTGAATGACCGCCTCCATTCTCGGTCTGAAGCGTGCGCAGGCGCGCTTTAATGTGTCAGGGTCCATATCAGTGAATGCCGCTTCAATAGCGGCTCTCAATGATGCGACGTTTGGATGTCTGGACTTGTTTGTGACCCTTTCAACTACGTTTTCCATACATAGAAGTCCAAAGGATTCAAATCTGGGCTGTTGGGAGGCCAGAATTCTTTCGAGCAAAACATGTCGACGTTGTCCGACAACCGATTTTGCACCAAATGACTTGTGTGGGCGGGCGCACCGTCCTGCTGGAAAACATACGGCTTTCCAGACGACACAGTTTCCATCCACGGCTTCACTACATTTGTCAGAACACGCAAATAAACTTCTTTTGTGACATTTTCCTCTTTGTTAAAGAAATGCGGTGGCATGACATCACCCTCACTGGATACACCTAGCACGTGAACATTCGCCGGAAATTCTTCTTCGACTCATTGTACTTTGCGATGACATCATACACAGTCGATCTCGGGTACCCGAAGAACCTAATGATTTCTGTCGCCGAGCACCCAGCGCAAACACTTTCGATAATCGCGGCTCTTCGGTTATACTCCACACTTGGTTTCAAAATTGCGACTGTTTCGAGGTTATGATGGTTTAGTACATGCGTCAAGCTATTTAAACGCTAATCGCGACATCTACCAGTGGTATAGAACGGCGAGAATTTCAAATTGAATTTTGTCCGGATTTTGACACCGCATCCTGTATATCTAGTATACATAGCGTGCGCACGCACACACCTGCGCTCCCTTACAAAAAAGTATTACTAGTTAGTCAGTAACTTATTACTATTGTTCAATAGTTTTATTACTAGTAACAAATAATTTTGAATATTTAAATTACAGGGTTACTAATGCTACAGAATACTTCAGTGATTACAGTGATGACAGTAATAATCACTGATATATTATTAGGTTCGTCTGATGAAATACTGTTGTAAATTATTCCCTAATAATAACGAGATAGATAAGCATCAATTTTTTCATGATCAATATAAATTGTTTTACATCTTGTATTTTTTAAACTAACTTATTGTTTGCTCTAATTTGTTATAATGTTCAATAAAAAATATAAAAGCAATCATGTTGTTAATGATTTGCCAATGTACATTAGAACAATATCAGTCACACTCTCATTGTTGTTGCATCAATTTATTGCATCATTTATCAATAAATATGCCATTACAATGTTAGTTGAATGATATAAAAGCATATTATAAGTATAATTCAGCAAAGTATCGTCACAACTCATTGGCACCATGAGTTCTAGTTCAATCATTTGGGTTAAACAGCGAATAGCGTGATACGAGAAAGCATGAGTTAAAATACCGCAAAGACCCACCGAGTTAAAATACCGCAGCGACGCACAAAATTTGAAATATATTTTTTTATTATTTAAGTAAAATAATTACGCATTAAATATTTTAATTATTTAAATAATTACGCATTAAATTGTTTGGACCATTCTAATAAATTCATTTGTAAAAATTCAACAAAAAATTCCATATATTATTCGCCAAATAATCTGACTCACTATATAACTGAATCACTAAAAAGTAATTAATCACTATTGTTTAATTTGTTTAATTGTTTAATTGTTTCTTTAATGATCAGTGATACTTTTCTGTAAGGGCGTGCACGAACATATAAACAATAATGTTTATACCACTAGATTTATGAAAGTAACGCTCTTTTTAAATAATTTTGAAGGAGTCTTAAGGTCAACATTATTTTTTACTTAGAAGATATTTCTAGTAACAATAGTTCACACTTTAGGTGTATATGTATATATACATACAGGATAATTCAGAAATATTTGTACAAACTTTAGGGTTTAAGTTCTACACATCTAACAAGAAAAAAAGTATCATATAAATATATGTCCGGGAATACTTTGTTTATGAATTATTATTGGTAAATTACAAAAACACATATCATATTTTACTTCAAAAACATTTGCAATAATGAATGATTATTGTGATAAATCTTCAGTTCAATTGTTTATCTATTCACAATTCACAAGAAATACTGAAAATCTCCTTCACCTGCTACAACACATACATGAACACGTCCAATTATAGTCTGTTGCACCCTTTCAAAGATGTTAGGATGGTCCGCGAATGGTTCCGCGGTTAATGCGTTGGTAAAAGATTTCTTTACTTATCCCAGCAAACACAGAATATAACTATTATATAACATAGGAGTTATATAACTATTATATAACATAACTATTATATAACACGTAATATAACAGATGTTATACTTAATTAACAATAATGTTTATACCACTAGATTTATGAAAGTAATGCTCTTTTTAAATAATTTTGAAGGAGTCTTAAGGTCAACATTATTTTTTACTTAGAAGATATTTCTAGTAACAATAGTTCACACTTTAGGTGTATATGTATATATACATACAGGATAATTCAGAAATATTTGTACAAACTTTAGGGTTTAAGTTCTACACATCTAACAAGAAAAAAAGTATCATATAAATATATGTCTTAATTAATGTTAAAGTTATATTATTTTCTTTCATAACCGTAATCTAACTGTGTTTTAGAACTGTTATAATTTTCTGTTATTTACAGGTTATAATTATATAACACCAACATTAGTAAAATGTTATATAACAAGCGTTTATTTGCATTATACCTATGTTACATAGCATTCTTATATCTAGGGATCGGATTATTCGCTAGATCACTTCCGTTTTCTCGTGTCTTTTTCGTAAAATATCATATACGTAATCATATACGTAAAATATGCATTAATATATATATAAACGATGATTACAAGACGGCACAATTTGTACTATAAAATCTACTTTTATAATAAAGTGAAGTGGTACATTTTTTAATTAATGGAAATTACACAATAGTAATCTTTTCCATTTGAATTTGAATATTTTAATATTACAGAAAGATGAAAATAAATAAATGAAAATAGCTCTAATAGCATAAAATGCCTGAGGACATACTGGAACACTAGACGTCTAGAATAGTTCTAGAATGATTCTGGAATATTCTGTTATTTGGGAGCTAATTCATTTAGAATGACAAGACACTATTATGTTATTATCTTTAAAAATATTTTTGATAATATATAATTATAATATTTTTAGGAACATATTTTTACAAATTAATTGATATTTGAGTGATAACTTATAATCTCTGTATATAATTAAATATATATAATTTCTGGGAAGTAATAATTTATATTCCAGCTATGTAATATTTCAGCAATATATAATAGCCATATAACAGTTTAGTAACATGTTATATTTCTGTTATATATTTGCAATATCGTTTGAGTAGGAAATTACAACTAACGTGTATGTTACATGTAACAAACATGTTATATTGCGTGTTACATTCCGTTATATTATGACGATGTAATTGTTATATTATTGTGCTTGCTGGGACAATTTCAGTTGCATAAACTAAGAATGTTAAATGTTCTCATAAATCAAAATCTAATGAATTTAAATTAAGTGAATGTACAGGCTGTGGGACTAATCCTCTTCAACCTAACCATTTGTTCTAATAGATATCAATGAACACATCTTAAACAATTAAATAATGCGATTAAATAGTCCCATCATGCATAAACTGCATGGTTATTATTGTCAACATTGAATATAATCTCTCAATTATAACTCATAACTCATTTCCAGGTATATGTATATACAGTGAGTGTAAAACGTATTCATATACAGGAGATTGTCTTGAAGAAGGCTTTATTTGTAGAAAATGAGCTTTATTTAATAATTTATTAACAGTGAACATAAGTGATATATTTCTCAAAATTATGTTAATAAATTGTTAAAACTTATTTTCTATAAATAAGGTTTCCTTTTCAAAACTCTGGTGTACGGATACTTTTTGTATTCACTGTATATGATATTTTCTTTTTATTTAGATGTGAAAAACTTTGCCCTAAAGTTTGTATAAATATTTCTGAATCACCCTGCCTATGCATATATGTGTATATATGTACACACACACACACACACATATATATATAATGTGCGTACGAGCGCATGCACACACGTACACAGGATTTTTTATTTAATATGACCGGATTAATTGTGTACAATGGGATATTTCTAATAAAAAAAAAGTAAAAAGAAAAAAATTATTGAAGTAGCCCGCAGGCAATTTCGAGTCAAGTCATAAAATGGCAATGTTAGAAATATAAATTTCTATTGTACTTTTATTAACCAATAAATTATTTCTATTACACTAATACACTAATATGTAGTCACATTTAAATTAAAGTGACTTTAATAAGCAGGAATATAAATTTTATATTTTAAACATTCTGGCTTCCTCCTCCATTTCTCCTATTTGTGCATGTAACTATTTATTCTCTATTTATATTAATTATATTAAGAATGGATGAATTATCCCAGATAGAAATTGCGTGATGATCACGTTTCATCATAATGTGATGTCATACTGATTTCAACTTTATATCTTTTTACAGATCATGTGATTAACATGAGCACAAGATGTATACAAATGATATACGAATATCTAGTTCATCAAATTTTGTTATCATTATGATAATTGCTAGATAACTACTACTAGATGAGATATTTTTTTGATCATCATCACATAAACAACATATGAGCAGCATATGCACACGCATTTATATACATTGCAATCATGCATGTCAATATATGAGTGCGTACTGAGTGCAATATGACATTTTTCTATCTGGGATATTAATTATATTAAAAATTAATGAGTATATCAAACATACCATTTGAGACTGTAATATATTCAATTTCCATCCAATATAGCATATGTAATTCAAGATAATCTATATTATCTAATAAATGTTCATAATTAGCATTTTCAGATTTAACAAGCTTTAATAATAATTTTTGGTCAACTTCATCTAAAGATTCACATACTGCATATAAACACTTTGCAATGTTACTTATATTTTTTGAACATAATTTAATTTTTGGAAAATATTGTAAATCTAATTCGCTGAATCGTAATCTTAATTTCTTTATTACTTCCCGGTTATTTAAAATGCATAATGCTTCTAAAACTCTATCTTTCCATTTCTCTGATTGCTGTTTTACATAATCTGTAATTATGTACGTATTTTCTTTCGTAGCTTTTTCAAAAAGCTTAAAAACATCTCTAAATATATTTGCATAATCCTCTATTATTAAAAATAGTATAGAAATCTTCTCATCTATATCAAGATCATCTTCTATCTGCCTTAAAATATCAATATTTAAAACAGTATCTATGTCAAGTGCACTTGCATCCACTGATAGCGACATCACAAATTATGTATTTCATCAATAACGTTATTATATTTATCTGAAACATGTATTAACAAATTATTAGCAGAATATAAACTTCATATACTTTAAAACATAAAATTATATATAATATACTTAAAATATTTACAACAAAAATAACTGAAGAAATTTATTGATAAATGAAAAACTGTCTAATTAACCTATAAATTAATGTCAGAATCACTAGAGGTTTGTTCGCGTCGCATGTCCCAATGGGCTCCTACACGCTTCAATGCACTCTGATTGGTTCACGTCATCACGCGGACCAGAGAGTCAATTCCGTATCTCGAAACGAAGTGAAAATTACAAAAGTGAGCACATTCACTAGGCACTGACCAATGAAATTACGAATATTTTAGTATATTTGCTCACTTTTGTAATTTTCACTTCGTTTCGAGATACAGAATCGACTCCCAGAGTGCGTTGGAGCGCGTAGGAGCACGTTTGGGCATATGACGCGAACAAATCTTTGTTCGCGTCGCATGTCCCAACAGCTGCGTTCTTTTATTCGCAATAGATGCAGCTGATGTCATATTATCCTTCGATTTTATCGAATGTTAAACAAGGGTAGAATGACATCGGCTGCATCTTTTGCGAATAAAAGAACACAGCCAACGTACTTCTACTCGCTCCAACGCACTCTGATTGGTCCGTGTGGTGACGTGAACCAATCAGAGTGTGTTGGAGCGAGTAGGAACACGTTGTGGCATTCGACGCGAACAAACCTACTGAAACCATAGAATGCATTCAGCGTGCAACTCAATAGTTGCACAACAGAGGTGCGTTCCGTATACCGGAGTGTTCGTCCGGACAAAATATGACATCACACTTTAAGGTTGTCTCGTGAAACGGAACGATTCTCGGACATTTTTGCGCTTGCGCATAAGTGACATGTTCCTTTAAGCGTCTTCTACAATGGCAGTAGGAGTAGTAGTAAGAAATAAGCAGTAAGCAAATTGACCAATTCCATTCTCACGTTTCAAAAATAATCGATTGTGATTGGTCTATTTACTTACTGCTTATTTCTTACTACTACTCCTACTGCCATTGTAGAAGACGCTTTATGCTTTGCTGTATGCTTACATTTTATATAATACAAGAAACATGGAATATATGCTTGTAACTGAGCCAAACGGAAATGTCATCACGAATGCATCAGGAAATATCATGGTTCAAAAAATACCTGGTAAGTGCTTTTACCTGTGCAAACATATTGTAATATAAATTGTAGGTTATGTAAAAATGTTGTTTATTTGCATACAAATTTTGAGGATGACTACAAATATTTAAAATTTCAATACTATTTTTTTATCAGAGAATACATTAATGTTCATCAGGTCTTCCCAAGCTGCTACATTATTTCCAAACAGTGTAATTCAAGCTGATATGCAAGTTTCCGGATCTGACTGTTTTACAGATAGAGAAAAAGAAAACAATACCACAAGCAGAACTTCTTAGAATCGAAATGAGATCATAGAACTAATACGCTTATATAAGTCCTACAAACATTTATTTAAAAGTACAACAATGAAAAATGATAAAGTATGGGACATTATAGCTCAAAAGTTACCGATGCACACAACTGAGCAGATAAAAAACAAATTTAAATATCTGAAACAGAAATATATGGAAAAGAAAGATAACATGGGTGAAAAAAGCAGTGGAGCAGGTACGATTAAATTCGATTACTTCTTTGAAATGGAAGAAATATTTAGTCAGGATCCTGATGTACAGCCAGTGTCAACTGCATCTTCTTTACGAGGGATTCAACGCGCTTGTAAGACATCATCGGTTGAAATTGAAGAAAATTCATACAGTGATGATGAAGAGATTACAAAAAAGAAAAATGAAAAGTCAATGATAAGAAGAAGAAGTGAATTAGCAAAACAACTAAGTACATACGAAAAAATTTTTGAAGAAAGAGAGGCTAAAAAAGAGAAACGTCATAATGAGTTAACAGCTCGACAAGATGCAGCTCTAAAAATTTTAGAAAATATTGCAAATTCATTTGCAAACATATCAAATATTAAAAATTAATCATTTCGATAATGTTAATAATATATTTTATTTTGCTTCCTTATTTTTAAAGGTTTGCTAATGACAATTTGTTTTAATCGATTATAGTTAATGACATTTTGTTTTAAACGATTATGGATAATCGAACTTAAAAGTTATAAAGTACTTTTCTTCCATATAAAGTATTTTTTTCCGTTATAAATTTATGTTTTCAACATGAGATTCCTAATCAGCTTATGGTCCTATTACTTCATAAGGATCATAAATTCATGACATGTTATTTTGTATTGCGAGATAGATCACTAAGGTATTGTAATGGAGATTGTTAGACCAAAGAAATGTAATACTTTCATTATTTTATTTTAAAAATGTGATACTACTTTTAGACTGAAATTCATGTGATATTACTTTTATTATCTACAATTATTGCGAAATAAATAAATAAATATATTTAACGTTAAAAATATAGTTAACGTTCAAGTAGTTTGTAAGTACAATTATTTGAGTTAAGATATTTTGTGTTCAAGTAGTTTTTAAGAAAAAAGATATTATCTATTATATATTGTGTAGTTTTCCAATGTAATTTTTTACGATAAATTTTCAAATGAAACTATATTTGTGAAAAAGATTGAAAGTACCCAGTAAGCAGAATGTCTAAAATCGACGCATAAGAGAACTTTAAGATACCCTTATAGAAATATCATACTAAGAAATACTGAAAAATTATTAGTGATTAAATATTACCAGTAATTCAGTAATTTTTTGGCCAGTACTTAATTTCTAGTGAATACTGATAATAAAATCACTGTTAAATATTGATAGTAATCAAATACTGAGAATTATTATGCGAAGGTGAAAAATGAGAAAATCATAATGTTTACAAAGATATACTTATATTCCTAATTTTCTCATGTCTCATAAACTACTAGATATCGAAGATTGTCAACACATTCCAAACTTTCATGAATCCTCCTGCGATAATTTCGATTCCAAGCGGTATACCACTGGTCACCCACGCATGTCCTGACCGCATTAAACTGTTGCTTAACCTGACGATCGAGCGCGCACGCGGTGACTCTGATGACTCCAACGATGTTCTTACAATTCATGCTTATATAACCCTTATAGAAATATCATACTAAGAATCATTGATAACTACTTATTATCCAGTATTTTTAATACTGAAAATAAGTAATTATCAATGATTTTTAGTATGATATTTCTATAAGGGAATGTATCCTTATAGTGTTCACAGTATATTATAACATACCTAGCAAACACCAAATGATAGTTACATAATTTTTACTTGTTGTTTATTGGATAATTTGTTGATAGATATTAAAACAATGCAACATTCGATATGCGATGAATATCGATGTAATGTAGTGAACCAGTGATAATTACTTTTACATTTTTAACAAAATGTTATAATGATCAATCCAACAAAAAAAATTAAAAAATAAAAAAAAATCCAAATTAAACAAATCGAATTATTAAATTTTGATAGAAACTTTTAAAAAATATTATTTAAAACGATAGTGTTGTTTCATCAAATGACATGGTTTTCTTGAACAAAATAAAAGTTTTATTTTCATCATTTTAAAAAATGATATTTCGTTTAAGAATATAATATTTTAATGAAATAAAAAAAATCACGAAATTAAACAAGTACGAATATTAAATCTAAAGAAAATATTTTCTCCGAAAAAACGGTATAAGAAGTATAAAAAATATGCAATAAGACAAATTAATGATTGTCACTAACGAGTGTTATTTTAAGTACTATTCTATAAGTATTATTGATATAAAACATTACTGAAATACAATTATTTGAAATACACGTAACAAAAATAACTAGTAAATAAATAAAATATATTATATTCGTAATAGTTTTTTTTAATATTGCTGCAATATTGCTAAAGTAATATTGCAAATTAATGTCACTGCAAAGTCTCTGCAACATTGCATTGCAATATGCAATCTTGCAACGTTGTAGCAATGTTGCTGCAAGCTTCTGTGCTGTATGGGCATTGCTGAGATTCGAGCCTGGTAGACTTCTCCCAAGTAGCAGACACGTCATGAAATGACATCCAAATCCCCTTATAGAAATATCATACTAAGAATCATTGATAATTACTTATTTTTAATATTAAAAATACTGGATAATAAGTAATTATCAATGATTCTTAGTATGATATTTCTATAAAGGTCTAAGTAAGTTCAGGATAAAAAATAACCAAGGAATGATAAAAAATATCGTGAGAATATCGTCAAAATGATAGTCTAATGTCACAGATCGATGACGATTTTAGACGACTTAATGACGTTTTATGACGTCTCTAAACGTCAACTCTTATAGAAATATCATACTAAGAATCATTGATAATTACTTATTATCCAGTATTTTTAATACTGAAAATAAGTAACTATCAATGATTCTTAGTATGATATTTCTATAAGGGAATAATACGTTTTTAAGACGTTATACAGAAACGTCATTAAGATGTCACAAAAAAGACGTTTTAAAGACGTCGTTATTTAGTCACTTGACGTCATTCGACCAGTTATGACCAGTTTTTTACGTTATTTTGACGTGAGTCTGTTACTTGGGCTGATTCTTGTGTCGTTCACCTTACCTACTGCGTCACTGTCACTTTGATTGAGAGACGCTTTATATTGTGTACACTCAGAGGCAGGTATGGTGTCCCTCGGCGGGTCCGTATACGCCTGTCAAATAGTCGAAAGCGACAACAGGCGTATACGGAGGGCGTACTGTACGTCTGACGTACAACGCGAGAGAAGCGAAGAAGGCACGTAGGGGAAGTGGTGGGAGATATTTCGATGTTGCATTCTTTTCGCACGTCGTCCGATCGAAAGAGAAAACATTAGCAGACGTGATAGCTGTTAGTGGTGTCCTCAATAGCTGTCTCACTCACTCAACGCTTGAATGCAGAGAATATGAGCGAGACAGCAATAGGGACACCGCGCTGTCTCTATAGGTGTCTCGCTCGCTCTAGTATCCATGTATCACGCTTTCCTCTTTTCTCCTTAGCAGAAATGCACGTTGTGCCGATGAATGACACCGAACGACAAAATTTAACTC